AGGATTATGACTGTGCGTTTAACACAAAATTTGGCGTGTAATATGGCGGTGTTAACAAAATCAGCTGATATGACGTCACATGAAACACACTCATAAGAAGAACATAAGAACATAAGAAAATAAGGAGTCTGCAATAGGCCGGTTGGCCTGTGCATGGCAGCTCCTGTCGAGAGTTACTACCACTCTATCATCCATGAATCTATCTAGCCTCCTTTTGAAACTTCCAGAGTTCCCGCACTTACTACAAAGTTGCTAAGCTTGTTCCACTCGTCCACCACCCTATTTGTGAACCAGTTTCTTCCTATCTCCCTCCTAAACCTAAACTTATCCAACTTGAATCCGTTGCTCCGAGTCCTATCCTGCTCGGATATTATAAGAACTTTATCTATATCCCCTTTATTGATTCCTTTCACCCACTTAAATACTTCTTTCATATCTCCCCGCACTCGTCGTCTTTCTAGGGAATGCAAGTTAAGTTTCTTTAGCCTATCTTGATATGGAAGGTTTCTAAGTCCCGGAATCATTTTTGTCATTCTTCGCTGCATCGACTCTAGTGTATTTATATCCATTCTATAATAGGGGCACCAGAACTGAACCGCATAATCGAGGTGTGGCCTGACTAGCGCAAGATATAGTTGCAATAAGACCTCTGCACTCTTGTTACTTACACTTCTAGATATAAAACCCAATACTCTGTTTGCCTTATTTCGAACATTAACGCACTGTTTTCTAGGCCGTAGGTCCGGGCTTACAAGTACCCCTAGGTCTCTTTCACAAGTCGACTTCTCTAGGTTGATGCTGTTAAGGCTGTATACATTGTCAGTATTTGTTCTTCCAATATTAAGTACGCTGCACTTGCTGGTGTTGAATTTCATTTGCCATTTTTCAGACCACCCCTGCAGTTTATTTAGATCCTCCTGTAATGCATTTGCATCCTGCCCTGAATTAATCTGCCGCCCTATTTTGGTGTCATCCGCAAACTTGCTTATGTCACTGCTGATCCCAGTATCTAGATCGTTTATGTAGATTATGAACAAGAGTGGGCCTAGTACTGACCCCTGGGGAACCCCACTGGTTACACGGCCCCACTCAGATTTAACACCATCTACGCTGACCCTCTGCGTTCTATCGGTGAGCCATGATTTTATCCAATTTAAAACTTTCCCCTCGATACCATGAGCCTTAATTTTTCTCAGAAGCCTCTGATGCGGTACTCTGTCAAATGCTTTGCTAAAGTCTAAGTAAATAACATCGTAATTTTCGTCATTATCTACTACCTCGAAGACTTTCCTAAAAAACGTTAGCAGATTTGTTAGACAAGATTTTCCCTTTGTAAACCCATGTTGAGAGTCGTAGATTAATTTATTACCGGGATCGTCCTAGTGTGTCAGTTAAAAAAAAACGGCGCCAAAATAACACTTCCATCCATGCGCCAGACTCTCGTTCTACCTTGCGATGATGGGCTTGTGAGATGTAACGTCAAACGAATATTCTTCTGCTGTTGCAGTAAACGCAGGAGTGAGGTGAGGCAACAAACACAGACCTCACCTCACGACTGCGGCAAGACCTCTAGGCACTGAACTCCCGGCGGCTTTGTTGTGCTGATGAGGCTGCCAGATGAACGTAAAAAGACGATCTGCATACACTTCGCCTTCCTGTTATGTGTTATTAGTTAATATTCTTAGACAGAGAAGTGAGTCGGCGACACGGATGCCGTTTATGAAGTGTGTAGGAGTAACAGGTAGCTGGACAGGGAAAGTGAAGGTGGGTGCTCGTGGGATAGTCCAGGTGGTTGGACCTTCTTCGTGACACCTTACCAAGGTGAGTGTGGGGGAAGCCCGGAGGCGGTGCTGGTCGGCCGCCTCGGACTAACATCATGTGACCAATCAGTACCCACCAACGTCTTGTACACACACGCACAAAGAGTTCATGTCATTGTGTACACCTCACTTGTACAGTATACTGTACTTAAAAGTATTGCAACAGCTTTTACAATCAGCTGAGGAACAAGTGACCGTCAAATATTCCCAGGAAGGTGCGAGTAGTAATGTTATAATAAGTATTGTAAAAAAAAATTCAAACACAAAATATTTTAAGTGAATATGTGGATAAGATAGTGTGGTGATTGTTTTGCCATGCCTCACGAAGACCTCAGAGATTGACACGCCTGGTTAAGTGCCCTCTGTTGATATAGTGCCCAAGATCTGAACTCTTCAGAGATACTTTAAGAATAATGTGGGATTGTTTGGAGCTCAAAGATTAGCCAAAACTGAAAACACTGGTGATTAGCCTTATATTGGGGGAGGGTAGGTTAGGTTATGCTAGTTTCTGCTAATTAGGTCAGTTTAAATTCGGTTAAGATTAGGTTGGTTAATTTTATGATGAAACAAGCTGAGGTGCTAATCAACACGTGATCCGTTTATGTAACTACAGATAACTAAAAAACACATTCAAGTGGCTGGGATGGATAATTGCATCGTGTTGAAACCAAGATTATTATACAGTACTGTAGTGAAGATATGTGATGAAACTGTAAACTAGTGTTGTTGAAGTTCCAGGTACCGCTAGAGGGTTATTAAGCTGCACACCGCACACTACCATGATTTACAGATTCATGTAACGCCTCTGTTTACTTGTCATAGCCTAGTGTGTGAGGGGGCATATGTATTATAAGTACAATCACATTATCACGTGTATGAATATATAGGTAAGATGACAGGTGGAAATGCAAACTAGAGGAAATGGTTTACCTGGTGGACGACGCCCTGCCATAATATTCTCCTTAGCTTGGTCATTATCTGATAAATCCAAACTCATTTACTTTTTAAACAGATTGCAGGATGTTTCGTCTATGTTAGGCATTATGTAATTCTTCGGCGTACACGCGAGCGCACCAATCCGTGTGGTATCACGAGGCGCACTGAATCCACCCGTCAATTCTAATACCAGCTGAGTATGGCACGTTTGGCAACAAGTGTGCGTTAAAGCTTGGTGTGGCCACGTTTGAGTATCCATGGCAAGCCGCCAACTCTTACACACCTACTTCAGTATGTGCTCACTTGAAGTTTGTTTTATGGATGTTGATAACAATCGTTTCTTGAACTCTTTGTTTTAGTTAATTATACTCGAAAACATGGCAAAAATCCTCAAGTCTATGGTTTTGTTGCAACTCACGTGGACAAATACAATGCATGTGAAGCTTCATATAGAATCTTTTGGCCAACCAGGATGTCATCAGCAGAGTAACGTTGAACTTTATGCAGTTTGATTAGACTGAACAATATTTTCTAATTACCACCTGTCTATCAAATATTACCACAGACCTGTCAATACAACCCAATACTTACCAAAATACTACCATATGTACACCTGTATAATACACAAAACTAATACGAAATTTACGATTGGATAGGTGACTGGGGTGAATCATTTCTGACAACAGGCGACACGAACGTAACCTAACCCAACCCAGCCTCACCTCACCATTCCCATCCTAACGAAGCAAATAACAAAAGAATATTAGATTATGTCTGCTGGGATCGTGTCATGTGCGGTCAAAAATTATTGTGTAGCTTTTTATCTTTGTTTATGTAAATTTTTCTACATATGCTGTATGTTTATTCATGTCTGCTTTTGTGTGCTGACGATCCTCCACACCCCTCGATTTGCGCTAACGTGGGAGATTACAACAACTTTTTGTACCGTATAATAATAGATAATTCTCTTAAAGAACTGACAACACTCTGGTAGGTTATTCCAAAATTCCACAACTCTTTCTCCAAAGAAGTTCGCACTCGCAATTTTCCGTACTTGAGGCTGTGACCTTGAGTTGGGGCATGCATCCACTAGCTCCAGGCACGAACACTTAAAGAGGAAGTGACCAACGCGGTTTAATTTCTAATTTCTTTTAACAATTATGAATACAATATGAACAAAATATATGAGATTTTTTGAAGACTAAACAAGATTCCAAGATCATGAAACCCTATATAATGTGCTACCATGATACGTAGATGAAAAAATAAAGTATTTTAGTCAACTCTTTGTGCACGGGGTCACCTCAGCTGAATAAAATCGTGTGGCGTTAGCCAAATATATATGAAAAATATTCGCTTTTTTACGCGTATTTTCTACACCCAGAATTACATAGCACATAATTAATTGAGACTATTTTAAATTGTTTAATGAATCGTACGCTGCCGATTTGGTTTAACCATGGTGCTACTAAGTTACACTGTACCTTGTTAATACGTATCTGCTTTTACTTGCTGTCTGTAACATAATGTTCATTACAAAAAATCGCGAAAAACAATAAAATGCGCAAATGACAGAACTTGCATAAAAATTAAAAACAAAAAACTAAATGAGACTTGTATTAGTGGGGATATCTTTAGACGAGGTATTACGTCACTTTCTTATCTACGACTGACGGCCAGCTGGGTCTTTAATTGTTACCTTTTGTTTTCTCTCTTTAAATACCTGTACAAAGTTTTCATGTTTATTGTAATGTTGTGGAGAACTAGTATCTGTTTATTTATCAAATGTAAATGTATGAATAAATCACGTTCCCCACTGGATATGGTTACTTAATTGTCTTATTATTAATTAGTAATTGGCAGTCTATCGTTTCTGTTGCCAAGTTCTTTTTGTTTATGGATTAATATTGTTCACAGCACTGTTCTTTACTAAGTGTCATGTATGGAGTGAATGTAATTTATTCATATTATTCATCATATATATATATAGCGTTAGTGAATTAAATAGTGGATGCTAATAAAATAAAACAATAATAATAAAGCAAACCGTCACTACTAGTTGACAGGTGATAAGAGTTGACTGACTGACTGACAGAAGTGTATGACGGCACTACCATCAACACTTAGGAGAAGATGTTTTGTCATTGTATACACTTTATATTATGTCCCATATTGTTCATAATATATTCGAATGTGTTATTGGCATATCAGCAGTTTAAAGATAGATATTGTTTTTTGTTACAGGTCTCGAGTTACTTCACAACTCCCAAGAGGACAACAACGTACTGCCCTGATTGTTCTTTGTTAAGTACTTCTTCATCAAGATTTCAAGATGGAGAAAATATCATCCCTAGCAAATATGGTAAAACGAATTTATTTGATTTTCAGTTTGTTGTGTGTTAATTCACTGCTTGAGGTCAACAGTGACAGTACTGTACCCCATATGCTGTACAGTGGTGAAAAACCGGTATTATTTTAGATTCGGTTATCCGAGGAATCTTAGGTTAGGTCATGGGGGGGGGGCCGAAGCCTCTTCAGTAGGTTAGATATAGTTCTTGAGTTCTGTGGCTAGGTTGTAGGTTGGGTTAGGGTGGTTAAGTTAGGTTAGTTTAGATATCTAAATACGGGATGACTGAAACTGAAATTTTACCGAAAAGCCTGTTGGTGTTGTAATAGTGTATTGTACTGTATTAGTTTAACATTGAAAGGTTTTCTCGCTTGCTTGAATGCAGTTTCAAAAAGATATTTTAGTAAAAAGTAGATTACCTGGAGAGTCAACTTCACAGGTATAATAGTATTGTTTCTTTATGGTTATCTTGTTTACTCATTTATTTTGATTTTAGATACTTTGTGTATAAAATGTAAGTGTCAACAAAACGAGAATAACATTATTAAACATTTGCACAGTTAAGGATACAATTCAGGTTCCATGTACAGTATAGTACAGTACACCCCTTAAAAGTGTACAGTATACAGTGCAGTACAGCACTTGTTGTACTGTAATAAAAGTTTATACAGTTGTTGATATATTAAAGTGACATGATCCAATTATACCATAAATAAACAATTCATAATGAAGCTAATTTTGCTTGGAAATATTTGATATCCAGTGACAGGCCGTCAGACAAAGTTTTTAATCCTTTGGCTGTTCTGTTCTGAAAAGTCATCATTTCAGCCGGTCTATGATGAAGAGACTAGACAGAAGAGACACTCCTCAGAGCAGATGAATGAGGACATGGAGAGAATGTTTGAGGATGGAACTGCTGAGGATTTTTCTATCAGTCAACTCACTGGTGATGCCCCAGCTGCAGCATCTGCTCTTTGGTCTCCCGGATATAATGACGTCTTACAGATTTGCGAATCTGATGGGCGGATTCGCGACGTTGAGATAAAATGTAAGTAAATTCTTATTTGTAAAGTACAGTACAGTACAATACTGTACTTTTTTGTCATTATTACTGGATTTTTTTTAGTTGCCATCTTAGTTATCGATGGAGAACCAATTTTTTTATGCTGAAAAATTTTGGAGTCATAAATAACTTTTTCATTCCCCTTGGCATTTCCTCTGTAATTGCCTCTGTGACTTAGGTGAAGTAAAAGAATGTCACTGAGATATGTTGTCATTTTTTTTTCCTAAACTTCTGAAAGCAATGGTAAAAGGGAAATGTCATAAGGGGAAGTAATTGCATGCATTGGACATACAGTATTCAGATATTGCAACTCTGAAATTGTACTGTAGTCTACTTTACTGGACAGGCACTGGCACATGCTCTTGAATGTACATGATCATGTGTTGTAATTACTGCATTGTACATTCTTCACAACTGTTACCAGTACTCCAAAAAGTTAACTCGGACAATTTTCTATACTAATAGCTTCTTTAAATTGAGGCTGACGGACGCTCGCCCCACAAGGGGTCACAGCTCGAGGCTGAAGAAGCCGCAGGTCCAGAAAACTGTGAGGGCAAACTTTTTTGGAGTGAGAGTCTTGAACTCTTGGAACAATCTGTCAGAAAGTGTTGTGACCAGACTTGACCAACACTAGAGCAGGTTCAAGTACATTCAGGAGCCAATGCATGCCCAGTAATTGCCAACAGTGCATAACAGAGACGTGACCGATCGCTCAAGCGGCTAGCGTGCCGATCAGTGGTGAAGAGTATAAAAGTAAAAAAATGTAACTCCAGATGCATGTACTGTATACAGTATACATTTAACAAAGTACTGTAGTTCCCGTTAAAGTGTATATATGCCTTGGTTTAATTACCTCATGCTCTTCTGCAATATAAACTGGTCCATTATAAATGTTCTAGTCTGCCATTATTAACATAAGCACCCAGATCTCTCATATGCTTTCAGTTAGGGAAATGTTTTTATGAACCTAATAACAACTACATGCTAAGAACATTGCTTCTTTGATATTTTAACCGGGTATATTGGATGGAAGCATCAGGCCTTTGTATCCAGATTTTCCTCCTCATCTTCATGGGTGCAGTGTAAGTACAGGAAGAAACTAGAGTTTCTGAAATACAACACTGGGCAACATCCTTCTCACATTCAACCTTTGTGGAAATTGAACCCAGGTCAATACTGAGAGGCATGCTTACTGTACTTAGGGTTAGGTTTACCTTCTTATGCAGGTTTTGGTAATACTGTACAAATAATTCTAAAGGAGAACTGTAGGTACAGTAGTGAGTTGAGTAATCCTCACTGAACAAAGAAAACCCAGTACATTTAGTGATAAATGATTTTCAAGAAGAAATTAAAGGTTGATACCCCTATACTGTATATGATTCTTGGTTTAGGTTACTAAACCCAAATTAAAAAAAAATTAAAGCCTTGGCCAGTCAGTACTGGACAGTATTCCTTTAGAATTTTAAGAATACTGATTAATCTCTTAATGGGAAGAATAATAAAAAAAAAAAACTGAAGACTGACCAATCCTTGATTACAGACCACCGAAGGGATACCTTCCCCCATGTCCATCACCCTCTGAGGCCACATCACCATCGTAGGGGCAGCCGAAGGGGGAGTCAGAGTGATGATTCTCACCCTTCATATTCCCGTCTGGTGAGAAATTATTTTCTTGTGCTTTATATTACAAAAATAATGGATGATTAAAATAATGCAAGTTACTTACGATGAAAAATCCATAATTTTATAAGAGTAGGTAAATTTCTACTTTTTAGATCTACAATTGTCTTCACAGGGATAATATTCCTGAGTCAGGACAACTGATTGTTGCATATGTATAATTAATAAATTCTAGGAAACTATTTATATTGAATTTCTGGTCAGCATCATTTGGGTGACTCGGTGTAAATACAGTACGCTCAAAGATTAAAAGTAGCAGTCTTAATGCGTCAGTGGAGGAGTTGTATTAAATATGCTTCTGCTGCTGTTGTATCGAGGAGGTTCTTCTTGAACTGTTTGTTGTATGGTGGGAAAAATTAATTTGGATTATGATTGGTCAAACAAAAGATGCTCCATTAAAAAAAATTTATTCTCCCACGTGCATACTGTTTGCTGTCATCGCAACAAAAAAATTTTTGGTAAGAGTTTAACAATCATCTCACAGTATTTTCTTGCAATACCTGTGTTTAATTTACTGCCAATAACTTAAATTTCCAGTTATTTAAAGCTTAACATTAAGATATTTGTATCCATACTGTGATATATTTTGAGAAACTACTCCCTCCAGGTTTTAAAGGATTGCTACATACAGTGTCCATACTAAATGTGTCTGACACTTATCTTTTTTACTTTTATCCTCTTCGCCACTGATCGGCTTGTTAGCCGCTTGGGCGATCGGTCACGACTCTTTTCCTTTATATTCTTCACCAAAAGGTCGGCTCGCTAGCCGCCCGGGCGATCGGTCACGTCTCTGTCACGCACTGTTGGCAAATACTGGGCATGCACCGGCTCCTGAATGTACCTGAACCCGCTCCAGTGTTGGTCAAGTCTTCTCTTGAAAGAGCTCACACTCGGTGCCGTCACAACACTTTCTGGTAGATTGTTCCAAGAGTTTACAACCCTCACTCCGAAAAAGTTTGCCCTCACGGTTTTCCGGACTTGCGGCTTCTTCAATCTTGAGCTGTGACCCCTTGTGGGGCGAGCGTCCGCCAGCTCCAAGTAAGGACACTCAACTGAGTAGTGCCCCCTGAGATGCTTATAAACCTCAACTAGGTCCCCCCTTGCCCGTCTGTAGTATAAGCTAGGCAAGTTCAGGCGCTCCAATCTCGCAGGGTAGCTGAGATGCCGAAGTGCAGGCACCAGCTTGGTGGCCCTCCTTTGAACATTTTCAACCAACTGACAGTCCCTAGCATATCTCGGGGACCAGATGGGGTGACAGTACTCCAGATGGGGAAGCACTTCACTCCTGAAGATCGTCACGAGGGACGGACCGTCTAGATATCTGAACGACCTTCTTATAAGACCCAATAATTTATTTGCCTGATTTACCTTCTTCTCACAATGGCCCGAGAACTTCAGCTCATTGTCAACATACACACCTAGGTCCTTCTCACACACAGTCTCAACTAGTACATTTTCTTCATCCCGTTGGGACATATGGTACGCCTCCTTACCGTTGGTACGCCCCAGGTGCATCCTCTTACACTTCGTGACATTGAATCTCAGCAGCCATTCCTTCGACCATTCCTGGAGCCCACAGAGGTCCTTCTGCAGCTCTTCACAGTCCGCTTGGTTCTTAATTTCCCGAAATAACTTGCCATCATCGGCAAACATTTGTATGGAGGAGTGTACAACGTCAGGCATATCATTTATGAAACAAACAAACAACAGCGGGCCCAATACACTACCCTGCGGTACCCCACTTGTTACAGGTACAGATGACGATTTCGTGCCATTAATCACCACACATTGCTTGCGGTCATGTAGAAAGTCTTCTATCCACGCTAGGACATTTCCCCGAATTCCGTACCCTTCCAGTTTGATTTTCAGCCTTTCGTGGGGTACACTGTCGAAAGCCTTGGCAAAATCTAGGTAAATATTGTCGATATTACCACCCCGTTCTAGAATATGGGTCCAAATATCCAATACCTTGAGCAATTGTGTCAAGCAAGAGCGCCCCGGCATAAAACCGTGTTGGCAATCTTTTACAAGGTTGTTTCGTAGTAGATGTTCCATCGCTGCATCTCTGATAATACTCTCAAGTACTTTACATATTATGCTGGTCAGGCTCACCGGTCTATAGTTGTTCGTGGAGTGCCTATCGCCCTTCTTGAAGATAGGACTCACATAAGCCACTTTCCATTCACTGGGGACCATTTGTTCATCCAGGCATTTACAAAACAGAATCTTCAGGGGCTCTGCAAGCTCGTTGCACAGCTCCCTTAGCACTCTAGGATGCACCATGTCAGGTCCAGGACTCTTATGGACCTTTAGCCTGGACAGTTTATTTCTAATACCCTCTTCTGTGAACACAATGTGGGTCAGTGCTGTGTCGAACCGTCTGTCCTCAAACGCAGGAAGGTTAGTTGCATCCTCTCTTGTGAACACTGAGGAAAAGAAGCTGTTCAATGCCTCAGCTTTATCCTGGTCAGAATCTGCGTAACTACCATCTTCAAGCCTCAGGTCTGATACTCCTACTCGCGTTTTCAATTTCGACTTTGCATAGCGGTAAAACGCCTTTGGGTTTGACTTGACCTCGCGTGCAACCAGCCTTTGGAACTCCTTTTCAGCCCTCCTACACTCTATCTTTGCTTGGTTTCTGGCTCTTGCATACATCCTCCTGTCTTGCTCATCGTTTGACCCAACCCACGTCTTGAATTTCTGGGTTTTCTTCTTAATTTTGTCGACCGCCGCATGGTTCATGTGTAGGGATCCCCTCGTATTCCTAGAAGCACTGGGTTTGGTCTTGGGTATATATTTATCGATCAAATGGGTCATTTTACTAGTTATGATATTCAGCGTAGTGTCTGCGTTCTTGTACCTTAATAAGTCAGGCCAGTTGATACCCCTCATCTCTTCCCTCATCCCATTGTAATTTCCCTTGTAATATTTGCACCTTGGCCTGGCCTTATCTTGAACTAGGTAACAGTTAAATCTGAATGACAACACTGTATGGTGACTGGTGCCAACTGGGGCAAGGTGTTCCAGTTTGGCCACCATACCCTCCTCGTTTGTTATGATGAGGTCAAGTGGCTTGGGTGTTTGTTCCCCTCTGTAATGTGTCGGGTCTCTCACATGTTGGAACAGAAAATTATCTCTCAGAGTTTCTACAAAAAGAGTAGCAGGATTATTCAAGTCATTCGGGGTTGACTCGTTTCTCCAGTCGATGTCGCCATAGTTAAAGTCCCCCATGATAAGGAGGTGGCTGGGGTTGAGCATCGCCGCATTGTTTATTAAGGTTCTTAAGTTCCTTTGATTTAGTGGGCCACAGTTCGGGGATCTGTAGATACACCCGACGATAAGTAAGTCCCCTCCCTTTAATTTAATTTTACACCACTTGGACTCTTCAAAGACATCCTCTCCCTGTACCCTCGCCTGGCTGGCTCTAAGGTCTTGCCTAGCGTAGATAACCACACCCCTCCTGCAGGATTCTTGAGTTAGGTTCGTAAATGAGTCATATCCAGCAATACTGAACTCACATTCCTCTGGGTCGATTCTCCTGTTCTTGTACAACAGTTCTACAACTCCTACAATATCTGGTTGGTGTACTCTTAGTAGTGTTTCAAACTCCTCCCTCTTATCCAGGAACGTGTCGGTATTAGTGTACATGACATTCAAGCCAGAATTTGTTCTCGGTAACGTCTCTGCTCTTAGTAATAAACCCGCTCCACCCACATTCTCAGAAGCTGCAGCATTTGCTAAGTACACTGTATTTTGCAGGGTGTGGTTAAAAATTTCATTGTTTACACGGCGCTCGTTCCCTCCTGTCCGGTAGGCTGAGCTGGTGCCGCCTCCCGGGTGGGGGGTTGAGTGGGTGGAGGGTGCACTGCTGCCCCCTGGCCCTGTGTCGGCACACTTGTTTCCACTACCCTCCCCCTGAGTATAACCCATGTGCACCTGTCCCCGTTCCTTCTCGACTCCTCCCTCCTCTGCTTCAAGTCCAGCAGGAGCTTCTTGTGCTGTTCCCTCTGCATTACCGTGCGGTCTGGGTGAATAAATACATCTCGAAATGCCTCGCTCCTTGCTAAGTTTTTTGCCTGCCGGATAACTTGCCATTTTTCCTCCTCACTCCCTAATGTGATCCTGAGGGGGCGAGGCTTAGCCCCCTGCTTTTGTCCCAGTCTCCTCACATCCTGAGGGGTTGCTGGAATCTTCAGAACCTCTGTGCAAATATTTTGAAACAGCACCTTGTCGTGTGTTTCCTTACTCACAGTTCCCTCTGCCTGGCTCTCTGGGACTCCAAAAACTATTACATTGTTCCTGCGCTGGAGCCGTTCCTGGTGTTCCTCCTCTCCCCTAACAGTAGGTCCGTTAATTTTCATTTCTTCGACACACTTTTTCAGAGTCCCAATCTGCTGTAGAACCTGTACTGATTCTGCATTACTCTCCGCCCCCCCCACCCGTGGCCCTCCTAATACGTCCGCATAGCTCCTCTTAGCAACCACCTCCATTCTATTAGCTACTTCCTCAGTCTTAGCAAGGATCTCTTTCTCAACTTGCTCCAGTTTGTCAACCAGCAGGGCTCCTGCTTCATCTATTTTCGTCCCTAGAGAACTCGTTCCCTTATGGATTGCAATCGCTTCATTCACCTTGACTATGCAGCCAGGGCAATACCAGCAACAGCCATCAAGCTTTACGGCAGTTAGTAACTTCCTAAACGTTGCATTAGTTAGGCCTGCATCCTCCATATCCGACGTCTCCCTGCAGTAATCACATACCAAACTCATGGTTGTTGTTGTTGTGGGGGGGGTGTAGACTGTGTATAGATCTACACCTATTTCAAAGAAAATAAAGAGAGAAAAAAGTACTTAGCTACTCTCTGTTGCCTATGGAGTTGTCGTCTGCGACTGCGTACCCTGTATCTCCCTGTGAATGGTGTATTGTAGGCACAGTTTCAGTCCTTGAGCAAGCACACAATCAACATAAAATAAAATTTAAAGTCTCTGTGGCACCTATGACACGACTTGGTTTCAGCTGGCACGGTGCCTTTCCAGCTTGCTTGCTAGTGAGCGCTCACTTTAAGTTATTTACAACTTCAGCGGTCACTGATGACACTATGAACTATCACTGTGTACACTGTATCTCCCTGTGGGTGGTGTATTATAAACACAGATTCAGTCCTTGAGCAAGCACACAAACAAAATAAAATTTAAAGTCTCTGTGGCACCTATGACACGAATAGGCTGGCAGTTGTCCTTACCAGCTCGATTGCCAATATGTATTCACTTTAAGTTATTATAGTCTCTTCTGCATTCACTGATGACAACTATGAACTGATTTAACTGAAGGCACAGTACTACACTCCCTGGTTGGCCTTTATCACAGCCGTGACCACAACACCCTAAAAAATAAAATAAAATAAAAGCTTTGTCATGTGGCAGTGATTGTGTGGTTATAGGCCTGTGACCCTGGCTGTACCTCCAACTCGGTGGAAATTGAGTTTTCAAAAATACAATCGTGTCTAGCATGAAAAGTCCGACATCGATTTACACTTTCACCTCACTAAGACGATCTTGACGAACTTATGTAATCACTGTCCAATTTCTGCCGCTCTACATCGAAGGCCCGGATGCCGAACACGCTTTGTTACAGAGACGCAACACGACCCGCCCGCCCTAAACAGAATTGTACTTATCTTTTTTTTATTTTGAGCATTTAAGTGTCATAATAGGGAAACAATTACTGCATTCTTACAATGAGAAAAGAAGACTTGAAAATATTAGGGTTAACAAGCATACATAGGGAGTATTGTTTTCCTGATAAAATTAATGATAGATATTGTGTACCTGTTGTCAACGTAACCAAGTTATATAATTGCGATATCCCCAGTTAATTGAGTTTTCTTTAGAGCAATTCTCATATGTTACAGTATTAATGTTACTGTATAGGGATACATGGTCAGCTAAGCCATAAAACAATGTACAGTACTACTGTACTTGCCAATTAGGGATAATTCTTTTGGTTTTATTATTTTACAGTATCCTCTCTGCTATGTGGTAATATTGGCTACCCTTATTACACTGTAGTTAAGACCACCTTTGATATCTGAACATCACTAAACATTACCTAAATAAAATTTATTTAGGTTGATGCTAATGCTGTTCATAAAAAAAACCAAATCCAGTACAGTATCTGTTTGCTTGTTTTTATATATTCATTTATTGAAACTTTTTGGCAGTTATCCTTTCTTTGTGTGACTGCTATGCTGTATACAGTACAGTACTGTATATGTTTAGTTTTGTCAAAATGCAGTTTCATATCACCTTCTCCCTGAGACACAATTCATGAAATGGTGAATACACTGCTTCACTTTAGTGTAAGGTCTTGTGTAAAAATACCGAGCAGGTCTGACATCTTTCTTTTCTCTCAGTGTAATTTTCAGCAATATGCTCCCACAGTTTGTAAGGTCCAAAGATAGTTTTATTCAACTAACCTAATTTAGCCTAATCTAGGTTAGGTTAGTTGAAAAGCTAACATAACCTAGGTTTAGTTAGGTTGATTGGAAGACAAACTCATGAGCTAAGAAAAATTTGTGGAAAAGTACCCATTTATTTATTTTAATGAGTTGGGCTCTTAATGAATCACAATAAAAGTAGTACTCACCATCGTCCAGTTTCCTCTCAGCACCTCACTTGATCAAGGGAATGCACACTACATTCTTGGTTCTTGCCTGACATTTCAGGAGCTGCAGAAAATCCAGATCCTCATATATTTCTTAATACTGTAATACACTATGAACATTAATTTAATTTTCAGTTTAACAAGAAATAACAAAATAAGTAAACCCAAACAAAACAATATCAGGCATGAGGTATAAATGCTCAGTGAAATTGAAATTTTTACTTATCAACAGGATAAAGAAGGAGAGGAGGAGGAGGAAGAAGAAGCAGCAAATCATGACCCTGGGGTGTCCTTTCAAGTGGGTGAACCTGAACCTGCAGTGGCATGGTCACCTGGGTAAGAAATATTTATTTAGTTTTATTTTATACACGGTACATTAGTTTGTTGATATATCACATCTACAGATACTACGGTTGTCACCCTATTTTACACGTTCAATCTAACAACCAGATTTTCTTTTATACTGTACTGTACTGTAGAGTTTCACACCACTTGACCTTATCTTTCATTTACAGTATTTTCTTTTTGGAAAATCAAATCTACAATGAAGGACAGAAAACTGTTAATAGTGTACAGATTGTGATTAAAGTACAGTGGTCCCTCGGTTAACAAACACAATTCGTTCCACAGATTCGTTCGTCAACCGAAAATTTTGTTAAACAAATCTATTATTTCAATGGGATATTGGGTAATTGGTTCCAACTCAGAAAAAGTATATACAAAGTACTGTATACCAGTGTTGTGATGGCACCGAGTGTGAGCTCTTTTCAAGACAAGACTTGACCAACACTGGAGCAGGTTCAGGTACATTCAGGAGCCGGTGCATGCCCAGTCCTTGCCAACAGTGCGTAACAGAGACATGACCGATCGCCCAAGCGGCTAACGAGTCGATCATTTGGTGAAGAGGATAAAAGAAAAGGAAAAGTAACAGACGTGACCGATCGCCCAAGTGGCTAACGAGCCGATCAGTGGTGAAGAGGATAAAAGTAAAAGTAATAGAAATAACAAAACATTACAGTATACTGTACAATAATAAATAAAAAAACTATAGAATACTGTATTTTAACTTACTTTGAGGTGTGTATGTCGTATTACCGGCAGCTTTGTTTACATATCAAACAGCTGATTGTAGAGGCAGTCGATGATGACATGCCATATTCTTTACAGAGTGCATTGGTTCTAATGCCTTCTTCATGTTTCACAATAATTTCTGCGCTGTATATTATCAATTTCAGAATGACCAATTTTTTAATGTAAAAATGCAAAAATATTCAAGAGACCAACAAATTCGATGTTCACTCCACTGTAAACAAAGTTAAACTGAGAAGCGTTGTTGGGTGATTCAATCAGCTGATGGGCACACAAAAACTGTTCCCTGTACTGTCTACTGTATATTATCCATATGTTAACTAAATTTCAGAATGACCAATAATTTTAATATAAAAAATGCAGAAGTATTCAAGAGACCAACTTTCTTGATATTTACTTCACTGGAAACGAATGTAAACATAGAACCAATTACTGTATTGGCGAACTAGCTGATCAGCTGATGCGCACAACAAAATGTACATGTTGTAAGGATTTCGTTACTCGTAGTTTTGTTCGTTAATAGAACTGAAAATCCTTAAGGGAGCCAATTCGTTAACCGAAATTTCGTTAATCGAACCGTTCGTTAACCGAGGGACCACTGTAATTATCAAAGCTACGTAATGTATAGTGTTTTAGTATACTGTAGACAAATTTTCTGTCTTCTGTTATAGGTCTGATTTTCAAAGTAGACATTTGTATTATACTGAGAATCTACCTGAGTCTACCCACTTAGACTTTTCTTCAGTGTATTCTTTAATTTTCTCTCAACTTCCCATTCTCTCCAAAGCTCCATATCCCATCATCATATCTTTTTTACTGCACTCTTATGTCCCCTTCACAATTCTGTATTTCCATTTCATGTCGTTGGTCTTAAATCTTATTCAGTGATGTAAATATGGTACATGTGTTTTCTCTTTCTGTACTTCTTTTGTTATGTCATAGAACTGTGTTGCTATCCACCTAGTACAGTAATTGAGCTTGGTTGTATACTGTCATTGAACTTTGCTGTTGCTCTACCAGTTACTAAAGTTGGCTGTATTTTCTCAATGAATTTTGCTGTACTTTTGAAATTTGCTGTCCTTGTTGATGAACTTAATGTACTTTGTCAATGAACTTTTCTGTATTGTACTCTCATTGAGCTTCACTGCATTTTGTCATTGAACTTTGCTGTAGAACTTTGTCAATGAGCTTTGCTGTTACAGTATTAGTGATTGGACTTTGCTATAGTATTACCATATTAGTGATAGAATCTGCTGTTAATCTACACATGTTTAAACCTTGTTACTGTTCATTGAAACTGTTTATTATGCTTTGAACCTTGCTGTTATACTACTAGTAATAGAACTTTGCTGGTACTCCTCTTGTGTTTGAATCTTTGTTTCTTTGTTATTAATTGAACCTTGCTGTGGCTCTTGTAATGATAAAACCTTGCTCTTACTCTTTTGGTGTTTGAACATTTATTTCTTTGCTTTTACTTTACTTTATTCTTGCTATTACTTTACTATTCATTGAACTTTCCTGTAACTGTATTATTAATACACCCTTGCTGTTACTTTACTTCTCATTGAACCTTGCTGTAACTTTACCATTCATTGAAGTATATACTGTGACAACTAGGTACTTATTGAACTTTGCTGTTTCCTCTAGTCTTTGAATCTAAATAAACTTATCCATTGTTAGGAGGGTAACTTTGAAAATTTGGTGAGTCACTTACAGAAGGGACTAGCAAAAATAAGAAGTTGGATGAGAGTGATTTTCACTGAAATTAGAATATAAAGGGGATATAATGCAAGAAAAAACTGTAATGCAAGGAGTTGTAGATACAAGGACAAATGTAGGTGTAAATTATATGCCTGTACCGGCATGCATTCAATAAGTCCCATGTGATGACAAGTTTTCAGAACTGGTGCCTTGAGCTAGATATGAATACAAAGGGGAGCAAACTCCCAAGCCACTGGACCTCATCATAACAAACGAGGAGGGTATGGTGGCCAAACTGGAACATCTAGCCCCAGTTGGTACCAGTCACCATGTAATGTTGTCATTTAGATTTAACTGTTACCTAGTTCAAGATAAAGCCAGGCCAAGGTGCAAATATTACAAGGGACATTATGACTGGATGAGGGAAGAGATGAGGGGTATCCACTGGCCTGACTCACTAAGGCACAAGAATGCAACTCTACGCTGAATATCATAACTAGTAAAGTGACCCATTTGATCGATAAATATATACCCAAGACCAAACTCAGTGCCTCTAGGAATACGAGAGGATTCCTACACATGAACCATGCGGCGGTCGACAAAGTTAAGAAGAAAACCCAGAAATTCAAGAGGTGGGTTAGGTCAAACAATGAGCAGGACAGGAGGATGTGTGCAAGAGCCAGAAACCAAGCAAAGGCAGAGTGTAGAAGGGCTGAAAAGGAGTTCCAGAGGCTGGTTGCAAGCGAGGTCAAGTCAAACTCAAAGGCGTTTTACCGCTATGCAAAGTCAAAATTAAAAACGCAAATAGGAGTATCAGATCTGAGGCTTGAAGATGGTAGTTACACAGATTCTGACCAGGATAAAGCTGAGGCATTGAACAGCTTCGTTTCCTCGGTGCTCACAGGAGAGGATGCGATTAACCTTCCAGCGTTTGAGGACAGACAGTTCGACACATCACTGACCCACATTGTGTTCACAGAAGAGGGTATAAGAAATAAACTGTCAAAGCTAAAGGTCCATAAGAGTCCTGGCTCTGACATGGTGCATCCCAGAGTGCTAAGAAAGTTGTGCAACGAGCTTGCCGAGCAACTGAAGATCCTGCTCTGTAAATGCCTGGATGAACAAAGGTCCCAGTGAGTGGAATATAGCTTATGTGAGTCCTATCTTCGAGAAGGGCAATCGTCACCCCACGAACAACTATAGACCAGTGAACCTGACCAGCATAATATGTAAAGTACTTGAGAGTATTATCAGAGATGCCGCAATGGAACATACACTACGAAACAACCTGTAAAGGATTGCCAACGCGGTTTTATGCCGGGGCGCTCCTGCTTAACACAATTGCTCAAGGTATTGGGTATTTGGACCCATATTCTGGAATGGGGTGGTAATATCGACAATACTGTATATACCTAAATTTTGCCAAGGCTTTCGACAGTGTACCCCAAGGAAGGCGGAAAATCAAACTGGAAGGGTACGGAATTCGGGGAAATGTCCTAGCGTGGATAGAAGACTTTCTAAGTGACCACAAGCAGTGTGTGGTGATTAATGGCACGAAATCATCATCTGTACCTGTCAGAAGCGGGGTACCACAGGGCAGTGTATTGGTCCCGCTGTTGTTTGTTTGTTTCATAAATGACATGCCTGACGTTGTACACTCGTCCATACAAATGTTTGCGGATGATGCCAAGTTATTTCGGGAAATCAAGAACTAAGCGGACTGTGAAGAGCTGCAGAAGGATCTCTGTGAGCTCCAAGAATGGTCGAAGAAATGGCTGCTGAGATTCAATGTCACGAAGTGTAAGAGGATGCACCGGGGGTGTTCCGACGGTAAGGGGGCGTATAATATGTCCCAACGGAATGAAGAAACTGCACTATTTGAGACTGAATGTGAGAAGGACCTAGGTGTGTATGTTGACAATGAGCTGAAGTTCTCGGGCCATTGCGAGAAGAAGGTAAATCGGGCAAATTAAATTATTGGGTCTTGTAAGAAGGTCGTTCAGATATCTATACGGTCAGTCCCTCTTAACGTTCTTTGAGTGAAGTGCTTCCCCATTTGGAGTACTGTCACCCCGTCTGGTCCCCGGGATATGCTAGGGACTGTCATTTGCTTGAAAATTTTTAAAGGAGGGTCACCAGACTGGTGCCTACACTTCAGCACCTCAACTACCCTGAGAGATTGGAGCGCCTGAACTTGCCTAGTTTATACTACAGACGGACAAGGGGCGACCTAATTGAGGTGTATGAGCATCTCCAGGGCACTACTCTGTCGAGTGTCCTTACCTGCAGCTGGCTGACGCTCGCCTCACAAGGGGTCACAGCTCAAGGTTGAAGAAGCCGCAGGTCCAGAAAACTGTGAGGGCAAACTTTTTCGGAGTGAGAGTTGTGAACTCTTGTAACAATCTGCCAGGAAGTGTTGTGACGGCACTGAATGTTAGCTCTTTCAAGACCAGATGTGACAAGCACTGGAGCAGGTTGAGGTACATTCAGGAGCTGGTGCCTGCCCAGTACTTGCCAACAATGCTTAACAGAGCGTAATCGATCGCCCAAGCGGCTAACGAGCCGATCAGTGGTGAAGAGGATAAAAGTAAAAGTAAACAGTGCAAATTAGAGAGCTACCATCAGGTAATCATGGCTAACCCATGCGAGTGTGGGAAGTGTCTGTAAAATTGATGTGGTGGTGATGATGAGTGAGAGCACCCTTGACTCACCATTTCGATTTGGGTTCAGTTCCCATTTGGCGCAGATTTGAGAATATTGTTGTCTACTGTGACCCTACCAGGTTTTCCCCTGGATATTATGATTTCTTCCTATATTAATACTGGACCTTAGGTGGTTAGCTTGTTCAGAGGAACCTGTCTATATAGGTAAAAACTTTCTTTCAGAATGTGCCTAATTTTCCTACTGTAATTGACTTTAAGTTTAAGCTTTGCAGTGAAAGCATTACAAAATTGTGATGGTAAGGTTGCAGGTAGAATTAGATTGTGTATATGAGCAAAAGGAAAATGAAGGGTAATTTTGAAAAGAGAAGAACATAAAATGTAGAGAAAAGGAAAATGGTTTTAGAAGATTGTATCAAACGTAAGAGGGAACAGAATAAGAGAACTTCAGGTTAAAGGATAACAGATGCACACAGACACAAAAAAAAATCACTTTCACTTGCTTCATAACCAGTTGTCCTTGCTTGATGCAATTACTTAAGGTGCTGGATGCGTGGACATAGATCCTGGAGGGCGGTGGCAATATTGACACCTTGAATTTCCCCAAGACTTACCGCAAAAAAGGCTCGAAAGTAAATGGGAAGGGTATGGAATTCGGGGAACTTCCTCGTGTGGATTGGAGACTTACTTTATGGCCACAAGCAGTGCGTGGTGATTAATAGTACGAAATCGTCATCTGTACCTGTGACAAGGGCAGTGTGCTAGGACTGACATTATTTCTTTGTTTCATAGATGATTAGCCAGATGCTCTTCATTCTTCCATGTAAAAGATTGCAGATAACACTTTGCTATCCAGGCAAATTAAGTACTGAGCGAAATGTTGTGCATTACAGGAAGCTCTTGATCTACTACATACAAGTTGTCAAAGAAGTGAATGCTGAAATTCAGTGTTACAAAATGCATGAGGATGTACCTAGGTTGCACAAACAGTTAGGGAGTATGTCACATGTCCCAACGGGATGAAGAAATATTATAAACAGCTTGTTTACGGGGTCCCCTCTGCTGAATAAAATCGTCTGATGTGTTAGGCAAATAAATACCTTAGTGAAGAGGAAAGCAGAAACTAAATGTGAAAACAATGTGGGTGTATATGTTGACAAGGAACTAAAGTACTGTGATCAATGTGAGAAGGTGAATCATGCAGATAAACTACTTGGACTTATACAAAGATCATGTACATGGTCCATCCCTCATAACACTCTTCAAAAGTGTGGGGCTCACCCACTTGGAGCAATCATTCTGTCTGGTCCCAGAGATATGTTAAAGACTGCCAGTTGATTGAGAACATCCAAAAGAGTCCAAAGGATTGATATCTGCTCTTAAGCACCCCAAGTACACCAAGTGAGCGTCTTCAACTGCATAGTTCATTACTCAGTCATGTGATGATATCTGGAGCTAGTAGGTGCCTGCCCCACTGGAGGTTACAGCCTCAAGGTAAAGAAGCCACAAGTACAGAAAATTGTCTATAACTTACTTCTTTGGAACAAGAGTTATGATTTGCTGAAACAACCAGCTGCAGAATGTGAGACACTAGATTTGGTCAACACTGGCACATAAACATTTAAGAGCCTTTATATGCCCAGTAATTGCCAACAATGCTAGTGAGCCAACCAGTGGTGAATAAGGTAGAATAGAGTAAGGTAAAAGCCAAGTGGCAGTCAATATTTACCAAACTTAGTGGTTGAATATGATACAGCAAATTTTGTGATATGTCCAATAAAACAAAATCAGAATTTTGTCACTACTTTCCAGAGTTTTGGCACTTTGGAACTTTACTGAGGTATGGCAGGGAAACTACTCACCTTTAGTGGCAACCATTGATGTACTGTTTATAGGCATATAGGAACTGTTTTATCTCTACACAATGGGTTTTCACCATTTTCTGCACATAAAGTGGTTTGGGTTTTGTAGTCACCATGTTTCAATATTCCTTATTCCTTTACTGCTAGCCTGTGAACTATTCCCTACCATCTGACTTCACAGATACTTTCCACTACCTACACACTCAACAACTACACCACTTCCCTCGTCGTAAATTTGGTCTTGTATCAATTTCTTTTCTCTAAGGATTTTGAAAGATGATATAGCACAGCCGGCGACAGCAAGCAAGCCACCAAGCTCTCCACGCAAAATCTTCACTGGAGTTCTTGATTCTGATATTGAGGAGCAGTCACCATTACTGGCAGATGAGGATGCGAAACTCAGGTAACCTTAATGTTATTGCATTTTCTTATTTCTCTTGTTTGTCTTATTTACCATGTGAGAGAACATTGGAAAGTTATATGTACTTTGCTTATTTTCCTGTGTGACGTAATCCCCATTATCTGTCTATTGTCTGAGACTTCTTCGTTAAACAATACCTCCATCAAGTTCCTCCAGAGATGCCATTATTATTGCCACCCAAATTTGCACTCCATTTAATGGCTTGCTGTACTTTTTTACTCTGTCCTTCCACATACCTTTACTCTACTGTACTTATTAGTTCTCTGAGATGATCTGAAAATATAGGGATCATTTGTAGTAAAAACAGTAACATTAGTAGCAATGACTCCCCAGAGAATTTTTTTTCTGAAATCTTGGGGAATGAAGGTCATTGGTGTCCAAAGTACAGTACTGTATACATGAAAAGGGATCAATGGTTTGAATTATTTTATTTTATTTTTTATTTTTTCTTAGTATGGCAGATGTCTCAGAGAACTACAGGGTCACTGACTCTTTTTTCATCTTTGTTCATCACATAATATAACAAACTCAGTCTTGTTTGTGTGTGGAAAGTGCAGGGAATCTTAGGCTGGTGACCCAGCCATGGACACCCATTTGATGCAACCAGTATCTTAAGAGTGACTTTAAGCTTATGTTAACTGGAATGAAGAGAACATCATTCTAACACCCTTAATAATACTTATTAATATTAATTTTCTGGGAATGAATACACATCATCACTCATAATTCCTTTAATAACATTATTTATTTATTAATGTTAATTTACATCAGCACAGTATATACTGTATACCTTTACATTATTTATTTCTACGTGAGACTTTGTATTACCTGTTCAATGAACTCTACCCATGTGTGGTACTAGTGATGTACAGTATAAGGTCATTGACGGACTAGCATATGACTCTGTGGTTGTGTACAGTACTGTATTTGTCTACTGTGTTGTCATTTATGTTATATTTGTTGTGTTCCCATTTCTAAATTTATTTTATAGTATTTTTTAAAACTGTATGATTTCATTTATATGCACAATAAGTAAGGCCTAGTTACACATATACTGTATAGTTAATATAAATAATTTTTTTAATTTATTTAAATTTTTGCTTATTCTCACTCAGAAATATTTAATGAGGAATTTATTTATTTCTTTTTTGCAGACCTTGCATTCGACCAACAGATTCTGATCTTCAGTATATTGATGAATCGTCTCGTAAGAAGACTCGCGTCCAGTTTGATATCGGTATGCATGTGGTCGGGCAGTCTAATCATAAACCTGATCCTTATCCTTGTACCCCAACCTTACCTCTGCTTACCTCTCCTCTCTACCTTTGCTTACATTTCCTGTCTACTAGTCATTTTTTTTTCTGAAACAGTTGTTATAAGCTTTTACACAACTGCATATACTGTATACAAGTAGTCTTTTTGTTTATATTTTTTTTAATGGTATGACCCACTTCAGAATGTTACAAAAACATATTTATGAAGAAAACATACAGTTCATTTGTATTGTATAGTTATCCTTGACACTAAAGTAGGTGTAAATTATCTTCATATAGTACTGTACTATAGTAATATATATAATAATTATTCACAAACATAAGCTCATACTTACCTGCAAATTACTCTGAATCTTGTAATTTGTTCTCACTCATATTAAGACCTAGACTGCCTCAATCTTATGTATGGATTGGAACTTCTTTCTCACATTCCCTGAAAATTTTCCTTTCATCCAATTTGATACACACTATCTAACCAGTAAAACCTCTACTGTACATACAGATTTGTTCATAAATTTGTAATACCAGTCAAGGAACAGCATCCTTTCCTTTTATGTCGGAATGTGTTACCGCATTCCCATCAAATTATATTTACCCCATGCATTTACAAGACTGAACATTGAGTACATACTTGTACTAGAATTGTGAGGGTACCCTAAATTATAATGATGATAGTCTCTCACTACTCAGAGTCCCAAGAAGTGCTCTGAATACCCAGAAATTAATTTGAAAATTCATGAGATGAGGCTGAATATAATCTCACTTATCAGAATGCTTCCTCTGACACATACCTGGTATTGAATACAAAATGTCTATTTTTATTGATTTAAGAAATTTTCAGATCCCATAAAGAAGCATTTTCTTACCTTGCGGGAAGTTTGTTTAATCTAAAGTTCATCATATATGCACAGTACTGTACATTGGTTTGAATTGCTGTTGCATGGCTTCAGTTCATCATTATTATATTTTTTATGATCACTTCCAGGCTTGTGATTACCTGATAGCATGGTATCCTGGTTGCCATCAGGAGAATTTGAAGCAATTCATTTTCTATATTCAGCATATGGGATTTTTTTTTATTATAAATTGTTGCCAAATTATTTGCAAAATAATTTAGATTTTTCTTTCTATCATGAAACAGTGAAGGAATACACAGTCTTGTACACCACTTTTATATTGAATGTATTTAAAAAAATGTTTAGTACCTGTAGTACGTAATCAATAGAGCAACAAGAAAATTTCAGGTGTATTTTGCTATAAATCAAGTGAATTTCTTGGTTGTATTCAGAAAAATTCTATATTATTCTGAGATGCATTGCTTAAAGGGACCTGTTTTTAAATGCTCTTCGACATCAGTTTGCAAGTTCAAACCAGTCGTTGCACATACTGTGGATGAGTAATTACGATATCTCACAATTCTCACATTATATTGCATTGTGATGTCTTTTTTCCTTACTTTTTTGTGTTTGTCCATTGTTTTTGTCTCTGTTTGTTTGTTTTGCATTCCTTTCCAAATTCCTTGTACCATTGTTGGCTTACATCCCACCCCAGTTGCAGCCCCCTTTCCAACCTCCCAATTATGTTTTCATTTTTGTCCTGTTTATGTTTTGCATAAATATTTTTTTCTTATGGACGCAAGAATTACAGGAAGTTTAATGAAGAACTTATGAAAAATGAAGTACAGTACTTCATGTATTGAAGTCAGCTGTGGTATGTATTAATACTATCCGATGTTGTATTTTGAATACTGTAATACCTATATACTGTATATTCAGCCCTCTATACTGTTTGTATGTGTGTGTGTATAATGGCATGTGTGTATGCATTTGTTTGTGTGAAGACTGGTGCATATGCACATACAGTGCAGTACATATAGATACACATACCAGTAATGTGGCCAAAACTCACCTCGAGACCACGAACAGGTCCATTTTCAATTTTAACCTTTATGGATTACCTAAAGATTAAACCCTCAGATAGTTTTAGGGTATTAAAACTTCAGGTGAGCACTTGGGGGTTATCTTCAGGTGATTCATAAATGCAAAAATTGTGAAAGGTGGTCTATTTCATGGTCTTGGGAATGGTCTTGACTACATCACAGACACACGCCACACCACACCACACTTTTATTATTAGTTGGGTGATTGGACTTATTTTTTTTACTGAACTTTTTCACTTACAGCATTGTGACAGGTTGTGGATTGTTATAATATTTGGGTGTTGCTAAGATAATAATTTTGAATGTGACTTGCATCAAATGGAAGGTGGAACATTCATAACAATCTTAAATAAATGAATTCTCTCACACGTGTGTGTGATAAATACTGGATAAAAATAGTGTATTATAAAGGGGGTTTGTATGCCATATATTTTAATGAATAACTGAAAGGGGTTTGGAAATTTGGAAACTAACATGATTGACTGTATAACTTTAATATTTAGATTATATTAGAGTTAAGTACCTGTAGTTTTTTATGCATAATACACTTGGTAATTTGTAGTGGCAGTGAAATACAATACAGTATTGATATTTTTTAATTCTTAAAGTTTCATTCATTAATATCGTGGAATATTGTACAAAATTGAGTCATAAAATTCTGTGATTATCATCATTTTGTCTTTGTTTTGGGGCTTTTTTATTTATTTTTTTGCTTTTTTCGCTGTACAGTCTATGACAGGGAGTGGGTTGGTTGCTCTCGGTCACCCATAGGACGACTTTCAATGTAAATTAAAGGAATTGTCAAGTGTTTTGGTATATTTAAAGATGCAGTTATGTTTGCTGGTAGAGCTAAAAATGCAACTGTAGGTCCAAACATTTCTAAAGGCTATGAGTTATCAGTAGCTGTGACTTATCAGAGAGGCCCAGTCTTAAGTCTTGATGTGCACTAACTAATGATGTTACCAGTTTATGGTCTACTAGTACTAGAGTCCATTTTATTTACAACCAAAGAAATGAAGGTAATATTGTTTTTTTTTTTTTTTTTTTGCACACTATGGTTGTTCCGAGAGTGACCGAAGCTAATCAGGTCATTACCTATCATAAGGGAATCTTTTTTAATATGTACATATGTTACATGGTAGGTGAAGACGAGCAGCAGCCAGACCTGGAACATCGAACACGACGCAGGTAAGATACCAAGGGGTGTGCCCATCATGTTGTGTACGTTTTTATTATTTTATCCCTCATTGACACACTTTATTTACTTTACTTTATTTACAGTAAAGTTTTTCTGAAGGTTTAGTAGATATTATTGTTTGAAAATTTAGCCATTGGAATTTTATTGCTACCAAGCACTTTACAATATGTGGGAACAAGGAGTTAACTGTGTGAAACCTAATTCATGGTACAGTGATAAGATTAGAAGATTTTAGTATTTGCTTAATTTCAAACATTATTCTTGTTACTTGTGGGCCTCATGATTTTTGGGATGTTAAGAAAACTTGTATAGCGTTCAACCTTAACAAAACAACTGCTTTAGGAATTAGTTACTCTTGTATTCCTTAATAGTGATGCTATAATGATAATGGTTTAGCATGTGTAGTCAGCAAAAAAAAAAGATCTTCATCCCTGGTCTGATGGCCATCCAAATGATCACTATGGCTGAGGTCATGCTCATTTGGTAAGGTTGTTATTTCTGATTGTGTGAAGCATTGTTTGACAAATATGATATATCCTGTATATCACACATACTGTAGTTAAAATGGAGAAATTAACCATAATACATAGCAAACCTAATCAAAAAACAGATTATGATATTATTATTTAATATGTTGTATTACCCACATAATTAATATCTTCAGCTATAAGAAGTGAGTTGCTGTGTAGGAATATCACAAGAGTTGAAGCGAAATTCACTTAACTTCTCAGTATTATAACTTATATTTGATTTAAAGTAACATTATTGGATGAAATGTAAGACCTCATCCAAAAGGAAGAATAATATAAATACTGTAACTACGATTTGTAAGCTATACACTGTATTTCATTTCTTTATTATACCACATGATAAATTTTGCTTATAGCTTTATTCTTATCATGTGAAATACGTTGTACACACTGACAATTAAACATCTTATAGAAAACAGAAGCTAAAGAGTAACTGGCAACTCAATGTATGGTATGCAGGGCTACCAACATAGGGCATTACTCAAGGGCTTGTCAGAATTCTTGATACAATATGTGTTTTGTTTAACATTGAAAAGGTGCAGATACCTTTTTTTGCTGACTGTACATAGATTTTGCAGGTATACAATTTCTTAGAGAGTGTAGGGGTTCAGTACAACAATAGTAAAACAGTAAGGCTATTTAACCAAGGATAGCTGACAGAGCCATGAGATGTTTATTTCCAGTAGGGTCCTTAATGTTTACAATTTGCATATTGTTGCAAGAAATAGTCTGAAGGATAGAATAGCATTCAGTTGTTAGAGAGGAGTTAGGGTTAAAGAGCTGCAAAGTATCCCATGTGTTGCCTCTTAGCTTGGAGTTGAAGTACTGTACTGTAATGAAATTTTTTACTGAATTTAGAAAATCAGTTTTCCTTAAAAACATTAAGAGATTTTGGGAATGGCAGATCTTAAGTACTGGTAAAACTATGGTATATTGTATTGTACAGTACATGCTTAAATAAGAAATCAGACAATTGATTTGAGATGAAATACCTGTATGTACACATTTTCCAGATGTACTGTACTTGTATTGAACCTCAGAATGCCTTAGCCCATGATGTAGGTTTGAATCCTGGATAGGGATACCAATTACATATTAATGATAAATTGTTAATTGGCATGATAGGTAAATTTGTTGAATAATTTTGTGTATCTTAAAAATTTTCTTAAAGCATACTAATAAACAATGTAAACTGCTTAGAGACCATACAGTGAATAAGAAGCTGGGGGGTGGGGGTGGAATCTAGAGTGGTGTAATCATTAAACACCTAATCCAATGAGGAGTCTGTGCTGTTCTGAGAGATTCTTGACAGTGATGTGAGTGTGTAGTTGGCTGTGCTCGTGATGTCTTGAGTGGTCATAACAAAGAATAGACTGACTGCCCGAATGGCTATTAAGCTGATTAATGGTGAAATGAAAACAAATAGATAAATAAATGAGATTCAACAATCGAGTGTTTGCTGTGATTTTTATCTTATTATCAGAAGGTTGAATGTGAAAGTCACTGGAATTCGGATGTATTATATTGTCTGTATTTGTTCACTGCTATTATCCACACTAAAAATAAGCTAATGAATGAGGAATCTTTACCCAGAATTAGAGTTATCAGCCAGCTCTTAATTTTTTAAGTGTTAATACCTGGAACCAATAATAGCGCTGCAATTTATATATATATACAGTCAACCCTCACTTAACGTGGTTAATATAACCCACAGGGTACCGCGGAAAGTGAACAACATAACATATGGGATTAATTGAAATAGAGACCGGGCCGACCCCCAAACTCCACTTTTTGACGACACACAACTATGTTGTAGTAAATATTTTATCTTAACTTTATGATGGTATGCACAAACAATTAATATAGAAGAGGTTAGGTTAGGAAAAATAAAGGTTTAGTTAGGAAAAATAAAGGTTAGGTTTGGAAAACTAAAAGTTAAGTTGAACACTTACGTTAGTAGAAGAGATGGGTCGGCATACGGGGATGGAGGCTGGTTCCGAGGCAGAGGGCAGGCTACTGGCCCTCAGGTGAGTCACCATCACTGTCATCCACACTTGTCAGGGCCTCCCTGACAAATCCCTCAAAGTCATCTTCACTGTCTCTACCTCTGTCACTATCACTGGCTTGGGCTGGCTGTGGTGGGTTGCGGGCGAAGAACTCTGTTATGCTTTGCTGACGGCTGGTGTTTATGTTGTCGTGATAAACCTTGAAGTAGGGCTCCATAGTCTGCAACAGCTGGGTAGTGAAGATTTCATACCTGTTTGCGTCAGGGTTGTCGGGAAGGAGGAGCTTGATTTTTTCAACACACTCGATGGCACCCCTAACATTACTATGGGATAAGCGGTGTTCTTCTTGGGATGACGCACCACCTGCTTCTTCACTGACGTCATCATCATCTACCATCTCGTCGGTAGTCACATCAGGATCCCTTATCACCTTCAGGATGTCGTCGTTGGTGGTCTCAGAGAAGCCTGCAGCTGCAACACTCTGCGCAGCTTCTCTGGCAAGGTCCACTGCTACTGCAACAGTCTGAACCTCACCAGTCACAGATTGACTCTGCCTAACGCCCGGAATGCCTTGCAACACATGTCTCCATGCGTGACGAACAGTTGCTACAGGCAGCTGATCCCATGCCTCCACCAAGAAGTCCACAGCTTTCTTGATGTTGAATATTCTCCAGAATTGTTTGAAAAGTATTTTTTGCTCTGCCAACTGTTGATCCTCTTCGTCTTCGCTCTTGCTATTGGTGGTGGTGTCACTCAGGTTACGCAACTCTTCCCTGGTGTTGGTGTAGTCTTTCAGGAGCTTGAATTTTTTTGTTGAGAATGCGGCTTTTACATTACAGATTAACTCTTGGTCCATGGGCTGTAATATAGACGTAGTGTTGGGAGGAAGGAAGACCACTTTTACGTTGGGGTGACAATCTAACAGTAGGGGCGAGTGTCCTGGTGCGTTGTCCAGCAGCAACAAAATCTTGAATGGCACATTCTGTTGCTCACAGAATTTCTTTACATCGGGAACGAAACAGTCATCAAACCAGGAGAGGCACAGTGTAGAGAACATCCACGCCTTACGTGCGGTCAGCCAGTGGACATTTAGCTTGGTCATGTCCATGCCCTTGTGGGCATGCGGCTTGCTGGCTGTGTGGATCACCGATAACTTGAGCTTACAGGTACCGGAGGCATTGGTGGTAAACAGGACGGTGATGCGCTCCTTCTGCATCTTCCGGCCCCGACACTTGCTGGCATTCTTCACAACGAAGGTCTTGGAAGGTAGCTTTTTCCAAAAAAGACCAGATTCGTCCATGTTAAACACCTGGTTGTCGGTGTACTGTCCTTCCTCCATAATCTCACGTAAAAACGGAGGAAATTCCCTAGCCGCAGCACGGTCAGCACTAGCTTCTTCACCACCAATGTTGATATTGGTGATCTTGTTCTGCATCTTAAACCTCTGTAACCACCCAGAGGAAGCAGTAAAGGGTATGGGCTCTGTAATTCCCATCTTTCGTGACACTGCAGCATACAGTTCACGTGCATACTCCTTAACAGAGCGCGTGTCGACCGCCATGTTCCGTCGTGCCTGACACACCAAGCAGCTCACAAGTAATTTTTCCGTCTTGAGAAGCACCTGGTTGTGGAAATACTTGATCATAGAAGCACCTGTAGACTTTGTGATCTTCATGTGCTCCTTTATCTTGGCTGCATCCTTCTTTATCGTCCGGATCGTAGATTCGTTCACACCATGCTGGCGCGCCAAATCAACCTGTCTTGTTCCTTTCTCTAACTCTTGGATGATCTTGTACTTCACCTCGTAGCTTAAGGAATGTCGTGTCTTCTTGGGCTTAGGGCGGCTGGGTACAGGCAAGGAAAGGTTTCTCTCCTGGGGGCAGTGGTCCGGCGGAAGCCATTTTACAGAACAATGGATGCACAATTACATGGTGTGACCTGGAGGGATGAAACTGCTGCGGCTAGGTCAAGCGTCGTCTTTCCTCCCTCCGTCCCTCCCCGGGTGGACACGTCATATTACTTTAAACCAATTACAGCTAGCAGCGGAGGGAGGTAGGGATGCATGGCCAATCACAGTCCGATACGTCATATGACGTCACTGATAACGCAACAGAGACATGCACTGCGCAACCTTACCGCGCGGCTTGCCCAGGCGGAGGCGGAGGAGGGAGCAGGCGGGTGCAGGCGGGTGGGGCAAATCTAAAAATAGCGTCGAGCCGGACACTCTCCACGTAAAGGGGTACACACACCGCGGAATGTGAGCATCCTGGGTTCCGGCAGGGTACCGCGTAAACGTGGAAACGTGGAATGTGGGACCGCGTAAAGTGAGGGTTGACTGTATATATTTTTTTCTTTTTTTTTTACGGGGATTAGCCGACCCGGGCGCGGGTCACTGACCCACATCGGGGCCTGGGGGGCGAAAATGTAATAATAATAATAATAATAATAATAATA